TTGTTCCTCTCTTTTACAGATCACTGCATTATCTGATCCATTCTAAAGATTAGTTTGGATCAACAATAATTGTTAGAATTATATTGAATCATAACTCTCATCAGAACTTCGGGGCATTAATTCTATTTCTAGGGTCCTCGGACGATACTAAGGCTGGTTTGTGTGCAATTTTCTGCAGAGGATTTGCAGAAGGTGAGAGAGATGGAAATGTTTTAATGATTACAGTGACAACGACGACGAGAGACGGCGACCGAAAGGGGAAGCAATAATAATAACGGTCGTAGCGTATGGTCGGGGGCAGTGGTGGTGGAGACATGATGGATGTAGAGAGGCTCGTGGAGGCTTTCGAAAGGATGCAGCTGCGTCTTTCACACCTCCGCCTTCACTGATCCGCTGGTCTCTCCGGCTCTCTGTACGTGTAACTTCACTTTCTTTTATTATATATATATATATATATTATATATATATATATATATATATATATATATATATATATATATATACTGAAAAACTTAATCAATTAAGTGGACCATCCACAAAAGTTCTATCCATTGATAGTACTTAGAGATCCGTGCATCATATGAAGAGATTTTTCATTAATAGATAGAAACTTTGGTGATGGTCTACTTATATATATATAATATATATATATATATATATATATATATATATATATATATATTATATATAGAGAGAGAAGAGAGAGAGGATTAATGAGTATCATTGTCATAGGAGGGGGATTTCTCCTTGAAGCCAGGTGGATAATCCACACCATCCTCATAAAGTAGGAGAAAGTGTGTGAGTTGGTGGGGATTTGTGTCTATTTATGGGAGGATGGTGAGGATTGGTGCACAAGACATAAGCGACAAATGAGAAAATCCTCTCCTATGACAAGGATACCCATTAATCTCTCTCTCTCTCTCTCTATATATATATATATATATATATATATATATATATATATATATATATATATATATATATATATATATAATATATATATATATATATATTTATATATATCTCTGGTATAAATTATCAATAGGCACAAATTTTTATAAAGTAACACATTTTTAAAAATAATTGTAAAAACGACCTTTTTGAAACTTATTTGTCAAAAGCAACCCAGTTTCAGCTAATTGGTTAAAACTGAGTTGTTTTTGGGAAAAAAATACCAAACTTCATGGGACTTCAAATCATGTGAAGTTTTGTTATGTAAAAAACTTCCTGGGACTTGAACTCCCATGAAGTTTGGTATTTTTTTTACTAAAAACGACCAAGTTTTAGCCAGTTGGCTCAAACTGAGTCGTTTGGCAAATAAGTTTTAAATAGGTCGTTTTTTTATGAATAAGTTTGAAAATGGGTTGGTTTTCAAAATTGGTTCTTATTAATAATCAATTTCTTGGTGAATTAATTATACGAATTGTGCTCGTCTCCAAGCTCATCGATGTTGACGATTAAACTGACAGAGGGTTTACTTTGTTGGCGGGCAATTTCTGCTACCCTTGTGATCATAAGATTTAAGTGACTACCGAAACAAAACAAAAACAAACTATTAACAAACTTAATCATAATGACTTTATTCGAATGTTTATCATCGAAACAACCTAGTCAGAGTTTGCATTTCTCATCATACTATACAAAATAATAATTAAATGTATTATTTTTTCTTGAAATATTCGCAACATTGGTGGAATCAAGAAAGATTAATTAGACTTGGTCGTCATAACAGGATGCCAAATATAAAAGACAACAACGTTTAACTTCTTTATGCCTTGCTGTGCAAGTTCCCAAGATCCTACTTTAATTTAGGGTTGAATTAGTTTACCCCTCTCTCTCTCTCTCTCTCTCTTTTCACTTCCTTTCTTTCTTTGTTGTTATTATTATTATTATTATTATTTATTTAGGACCCTGTTTGTCTTTAGTTATAGGTCAACATTAGTATAATTAACTAATGAAAAGGAAAGAAGCCTTCCTTTCCTTCTGCTTCTGCTTCTGCTTCTTAATTATTCAGTCATGAGTCGGCTTCAGTAGGTTGGTTTGTTTCTTCTGGTGGTAGCTGGGAACACAAAAAAGTTGATGGCGTTATACTCAGGCCACGCATATAATAATCAATCAATATAGATTAATATGAACGACATCATGAATGCGTTGAAAATTTTAATTGGGGGGCGTTGGTAGGTGCACATTTGGCCACAATATACGCTCTTGCTTGCCCCCTACCTTAGTTTTGAGTGGTAGGTGCAGCGCATACTAGTCCTTTTCTTGATTAATGACGAATGCACTCCCTATCATAACCACGCACAGCAGTGAGCTCATTTACGGAAGTGCCCATGTACTTTCATAAATGAACGGCTGAAAATGCCACGTACTGTGCGGGACGTTCTGAGAGGATCTGAACTCATTAACGAGTGTAGTTGGTTTGCTAGATAACTTGTCCGACATAATTATGGGGGTTAGTTGCCGATAGACCCCTTAGCGTCCTTATATTGACCTTATTACACTTGTAGTTTTGTTTTAGCAGATAGACTCCTTAGTTATATTATTATTATTATTATTATTATTATTATTATTATTAGTTAATCTTGAGTGAAACTTTAGCAGATATCGCTCACCCCCGTTGAAATTAGCTAGCGAATCTGTCCAATTATATATATAAAAACGCTGCATAAGTTAGTTTGGTTTAGGGGGTGTTTGGTAATCTGAAAGTGAATTTAAAATATGTAAGTTACTTTTTTTTGCAAATGACTTTTACATCCATGTCAGCACGCAAGTGAAATACATTGTTTGTTTGAAAAATTAAATTATTATCGAAAGTGTAATGTGAAGATGATGTGGCAAAATAAGATTAATTAGAAAGTATAATTAAAATTATTTAATTAAATTAGTTACCTTTTTGTCACTTTCATGTGACTTCACCACTTTTTTAGGGGAAGTCAAAATTGCATTAAATCATATGTGGCAACTTTCTTGCATCTCACTTTTATAACCACTTACATGAAAACAAACACCTTAATTGTTAAATGAAAATAACTTTCTCACTTTCATCTTTCACTTGCACGCAAACAAACACCCCTTAGTCCCACATATTAATTTTCCCGTACTTCCCTGATTCTCTGGATTGGTCTATCGGGTATACCACATACCCTATGTTGCGTGTATGAGATATCATTAGTATGTGTCAACTGTGATTTTTATTAATAACCGCATAAATAAATTGTGTCCTTTTCATGCATGTACTTGTATGCTCACACTAATTTTTGATGGGCATATGAGCAATACACGCTTCAAGAACCATAAATGTTGGTGGGGGAAAAAAATGCGTGTTTGGATAAATTGGAAAACGGTTTTTCTATAGAGTGCCCTTGGGCACTCTATAAGAGAGGAGAGAGATAGAGAGAAATGAATGAAGAGAGGATCCCAATGCAAATCAGGGGGCCCCCCTCCTCATTCATTTCTCTCTATCTCTCTCCTCTCTTATAGAGTGCCCAAGGGCACTCTATAGAAAAACCGATTAGAAAAATCAAACGTTTTGACGCTTTGTACCATTAATTAGTCTCAAATTGTAATTACATTTGGACTGGCGTCTGTCCAAACAAACGTCTAAACAGGAAACTCTTCTGTGGATTATCCTACTGCAAGTGTATATATTATATATGTTGTTGTTTAGCAAAAAGGCCCGAAAAAAATTTGGCATGCCAAATTAAGTAACTTTTCATGTCAGAATCCTTTCGTTATTTTGTATATATCTCGATGGCTAGTTCCTAAACTTCTTCAACAATGTTATCACACTCTGCAGAAGCACATGGCGGAGATTGAGGCGAGAACAGCAGAGAGGGTGATAGACGCATGTGTGAGGAGCCAGTCGGTCAGGAAATGCGTTTTCACCTCCTCTCTTCTCGCTTGCGTTTGGCGAAGAGACTCTCCTCACAACGAGCGGCATCCCACGGTTGTCGACGAGAACTGTTGGGCCGACGAAGGGTTCTGCAGAGATAGGAAGGTAAGAGACATGCCTAGCTAGCTAGTATAATCGTTACTTTCTTTATTGTTGAGCACATTGTTTACGTTCCGAGGAACTATTCACGAATCCACCGAAAACGTGCGTGCAGCTGTGGTTTGCGCTGGGTAAAACAATGGCGGAAAAAGCAGCATGGAGGGCAGCTCGAGGGAGCGATGTTAAGCTGGTGACGTTGTGTCCGGGCCTTGTGACTGGACCCGGATTTTGTCGAAGAAACGCAACCGCATCCATTGCCTATCTCAAAGGTAATTTAAATGGCTTCCGTTTCCTATTAATTCCTGCAAAATACTTGAGAGTACGTATTCCTGATCGGTAGTGTTAATCTTCTTAAGGTTATATATCACGCCAAGAGTCAACTAATACAATTGGCAAACCAAAATTTTGAAATTTTTTTTTTTACTTCAAATCATGCGAAATTTCAAGCGCGCTTTCGAATGTCATATACCATAGTTAAGGTTTTTGTGTTTCACAGTTCCAGAAAATTTTGAATGTCATATACCATAGTCACGGTTTCCGGGTGTCACGTTATAACATCGAAAACACTTTTAATGTATACATGGACGTCAGGTTTTTTATGCGTGGTTGATGTCAATCTTGCATGTTTAGGTCCTAGACAAAACAAACCATTAATGTATAACTTTTGTCATGTCTAGAGAGCTTAAAGGAAAAAAAAAATGGTCATGTTAATTTTAGGCGTATTCAGAGTTTTTGAGTGTATCCTTGATTCATGAGGTATTTCACTATTTCTAATTTGTTAGTTATGTATACAACAAACATGCAGGATCTCAAGAGATGCTGAGAGATGGATTGCTGGCCACAATTGATGTAAGCAAATTAGCTGACGCTCACGTTCGTGTATATGAGGCCATGGGACGGACAGCTTGTGGGAGATACATCTGCTTCGATCATATCGTCCGAAGAGCGGAAGATGTCGCTGAGTTAGAACGACAGCTCAGAATTCCTAATAGAACTGCATCCATCGCTCAGGAGTCAGATCAGCTTCCAACTTGGTTCGAGTTGAGTAAGAGAAAGGTTTCCAGGCTGATGTCCTCGTCGAGGAGGTGTTTGCATGGAACTTACTCGATTCCGTGAAACAATGTGAATTCATCACGACAAAAAGTTAGTTCAGGAATAATGAGATGGATAAGCTCAGAATCAATGGATGAAGGATGAGCCTGGCAGCTATTCGATTTGTGTAGATCGTGAAGTTATAATAGCTACTGCAGGTGGAAATGGATGGATTTCATCATAGAGAAATGGGAGAATTATGCTGTTCAAACCTAGTAGCTTGAAGCTAGAAGATGAGAATTTATGTGTAATATTCTTTTATCAGAATGTATTAAGATTTATATGAAATGAATAAAAGATGGCATCACAAGCTTTCTTATGTACAGAACATCTTATACAAAATTCCCAAAGTAACTCTTCCAGCTGATTACCTTTGTTGAAGTTTTCATGGTTAAAAGGACGATAAACAATCCTCAGCCGTCACACGTTCAAGATAAAATCAAAGAATCTGATACGAACTAACATATATAATCATAAGCAGGAACAAATTAATCACAAGGTAAATACTCGGAATTTACAGGATACCTTGAATTCACAAGGAAGAAAAGCTAGACAGCAAAAATTTTAAAAGTCAGATATCCTAAATGATATCCTTTCTATATAGACATACATATGGTTCCTAATTTGACTAAATGTTGAGCATACAAATCTGAAATCTAATGAAAGGGGAAAACCAATGTTGAAATAACTTCCCAGATAAGGTTAAATTATCAAGGACTCCTGCATCAACTAAAACTTAATCCTAAAACAGATCAACTAAATTAAATTTCATATTAAATCTATTATACGTCTTTCCAAAATGCCATAGACTTCCATATCATTTAATTTGGCTCCTTCATCTGTTTCTCGATTCCTTATAATAATAGTTGTCTATATCTCATCTGTCACCCATTTTGCATTGTGACCTTCACTATTATAATAAGTTGTTTATGTTGGGAATGTGTCTTTGATTCTTTGTATAACTTCATGAGAAATAGAAAGGATTAGAGATTTATCATGTTTAGGAGATTGGTCTCATCATGATTAGGAGATTGAATCCTATTCTAATTAGGAACTTAGGCTAGAGATAAGGTTTTGGTTTTCTTATATATATTCTTCTATTATTAGAGTAAAAACCAATGAGAAGGGAGAGAGCCAATATTTTTATAATCTAGGGTTAGCAGAGGGCATAGTCTAATTCAAAAATATTGGGCGAGAGGTGAGCGTTTCGTGGTCTTTGTCCGTGCAAAAGATTACAATATTGGGAGAGAGTTTCGCAATCTTTGTCCGTTTAAAAGATTATAAAGAGTGAGTTTTGGAGAGAATATGAGAGTTGATTATGTATGTGAGGTTGAGAGACGAGGGTTAAGTGGTTCCTCTTGTAGTTCTCCCTGCGGATATATGTCAAAGTTGATCGATCAAACCACGTAAATCTCGGTATTCTTCTTTTCAATTGGGAATACTTTTATCTTGTTGATTGTGGGTTGGGTTCCAAGTTGTCAATGCTATTGAGTACCAACTCAAACTCCAAGTCGGATGCGGGTTTGAAGGTTAGGCCCAATCCTAGTAGTTTTCATAGAGGCCAAGTTAACTTGGCGGGCAAGTCAGGCGTGTCTTTAAATAAGACCTCATATTCTAGGGTTTAGAGTAGAGAGAATGAGAGAGACAATATTCTTATCATCAATGTTTTAGAGGGTGTAACCGGGTTCAAGGGTATTGTGAGAGAGAGGGTTTGGCAGTCTTTGTCTATGTAAAAGATTATAATGTGGAGGTGATGGTGGATTGATTTGATCCCATGGTTTTTTTCCTGTTGAGGATTTTTCATGTTAAATCTTGTGTGATTTTATTTGCTACGTTTGGTGGTTTTTTAGGATTTTTACGAGATCTAAAAATCTCAACAAGTGGTATCAGAGCGGGGTTCGACGGTTCGTAGAGGTTTGATCGGTGCGCGATTCGTGAAGCGTCAGCAGTCAAAGTGCGGTGATCGACATCGGCAAAAATAAAGGTTACTGTAATAACGGCACTGTAGTTGGGGGTACTGTAGCAGAGTATTGTTTACCGGATCCGACGATTGAGATTAATTTGTCTTTTGATCGAGGATTTGAAGGCGGATTTTGGTAATACAGGAGTCGTTCCTAAGGTTTTTCGACGTGCTGAGTTCGTGTTTGACGTTGGTTTTATCAAATTCAATCTCTATAGTAACTAATTTGAATTTTGATTGCGGTTCGAGGATGATGACTTCTTTGGGTCCAAAAGTTCGATATCCCGTTATTCAATGGTAAGATAAATTTTACAGTATGGTAGTGGTTTAAGATATTTTTGTACAGTAGGGTCTTGAACAAGCTTTGGAGGAGAAAAAACCTAAAGAATTGAAAGATACTGAATGGAGTTTCATGCAAAAGAGGACGGTTAGCACAATTCGTGCCCCCGAGATCAAGTATAATGTTATGCAAGAGACCACACCAAGGGAGCTATGGGAAATGTTCGAGGGATTTATGTATAGAAGTCGATGACTAACCAATTGTGTTTGAGGATGAAGCTTTATTCGTTAAAGATGAAAGAATGTACTGTAATTCAAGACCACATCAATGCCTTTAATCAGCCAGGTTGCGAACTTATGAATATTAATGAGAAGATTAAAGAAGAAGAGCAGGCGCTACTCCTATTATCGTCCTTGCCGAAGTCGTACAAACCATTAGTCCAGACGATAATTGTAGGGAAGCAGACTTTGAAGTTCGACGATGTGATGGCACTCCTACGTGAGAATGAAGAAATGATGAGAAAGGAGAGCGCATCTAATGGTGGTGAGAGTGCACTAGCTTTTGAAGGTTCTAATCGAGGGAGGAGTAAGGGGGAGATGTGAAAGTTATCGAGGACGATCAAAATCTCGGGCCCGAGACGTCAGCGAAAAGGAGTGCTATTATTGCAGAGAGAAGGGTCACATTCAGTTCAGATGTTCTCAGATGCATGATGATTTAAAAAGTATTAGACAGATGAAGCTTCAAGAAAATGGGAAGAAGGCGGACTCCTCGATGGTTGTGTGTGATGAAGATGTGGTATTATTGATGCAGAGTACATGTATTGATGCGATAACACTTGGGTGTTAAATTTTGCAGCCTCTATGCATGTTTGCAACAACAAAAATTATTTTAACACATTGAAGACAGATGAAGAATTTGATGACGTGATTGTTGGAAACAACAAGAAGATGAAGGTTGAAGGTGTTGGAAGTGTTTGCCTCAAGCTTAACACTGGAAAGGTCGGAATTCTTCATCATGTGAGATATGTGCCGACATGTGATGCTAATTTAATTTCGTTAGGTGAAATGTCATCGCGTGGGTTTTAGTATGTGGGTGAAGGAGAGTGGTGAAAAGTGTATAGAGATGGTGATTTGATTTTGTAAGGGAGGAAAATAGCAACCATATTTGTTATTTAGATGAGCGATCTGTTAATGGTGTAGATACGTCTTCACAGACTCTTGTCCATAAGGAAGAGGTGAAGAATAAGAAGAAGAGAGTGAGTTTTTCTGAAGCTGATGAGACACTAGGGGATTTTTTTTTTGTCAAGAGAGGATATGTTGGGTACCAACTCAAACTCCAAGTCAGATGTGGGTTTGAAGGCTAGGCCCTATCCTAGTAGTTTTCGTAGATGCCAAGTTAATTTGGCGGGCAAGTCAAGGGTGTCTATAAATAAGGCTTCATATTCTAGGGTTTAGAGTAGAGAGAAGGAGAGTGACAATGTTCTTGTAATCAAGGTTTTAGAGGGTGTAACCGAGTTCAAGGGTATTGTGACGCAGCGCAGAAGTAGTAGCCTCGGAATCCACCAAAGAAAATCTTCGAATCCATGAAGAGCTTCAAATCCACGAAGAAATATTGAGAAAAAATAAAAAATTTTATTAATCAAAAGTTATGCCTCTAGGACTTACAAGACTCTTCTTAAATAGAAAAAAAATAAGACTCCTACAAGGACTCAAAATCTACCAAAAATAGTAAAAGAATTCCTAAAATATTAAAACTCCTAAAAAGATTCCTTATTACTAGGAAAGTCCACCGGTCAAATCTGAGATCAAATCGGATTTGTTTTCTAAACAAAACAGACTCTTAAAATATTACTAAAAATAGTAAAAAAACGGACAAAAATGCAAATATCTCTCAAACCGTAAGAAATTTGACGAAACCGAAAACGCAAACCTAACCCTAAAGGGTAGGTTTGGATGGCTATGTCTTGTCGAGATAGTCGATTTTCATATATAATTCGTCCAATTCCGACGTACGGTTTGAAAGTTACGGCCGTTTAGTCGATTTTCATATATAATTCGTCCAATTCCGACGTACGGTTTGAAAGTTACGGCCGTTTCTTCGAAACTAGTTATTTTCTTCGACCAGTCCCGCATTTGGGCTTGCGACTGTCCCACTTTGACATAAACGTGTCTGCTGTGTGTTCTATATCAT